TTTTTTTTTATTGTGCCATGGTTATTTAAAGTCTTTGTGTGCCTACAGTTTCAGAAGGAGCGTTTTAAGATTGACATGCCACATCGCTTTAAGACCTACAACTACATGAGCCCCACCTTTTGTGACCATTGTGGCAGTCTGCTGTGGGGTCTTGTCAAACAGGGCCTCAAATGTGAGGGTGAGTATACTGTGTACGTATTGAAAAGGCCCAAAATGATTTGTTAGCCATTATCTGTTTACATTATGCTTTAAAGCATTTTAGTATTTAGAAATACTTAAAAATAGTTACCAGCCCACTGGTCAGTAACTCTGTAAATTTGTTAGTTATAATTACTTGGTATAAAAAGGCCGTTTTGTTATTTGGTTCTTGTCTTAATATTAAACCCTGAATATATGTTTGCAATCATCTCTTCTCTTCTCTTTCAGACTGCTCCATGAATGTTCATCATAAGTGCCAGACTAAAGTGGCCAACCTGTGTGGCATCAACCAGAAGCTATTGGCAGAGGCTCTTACCCAAGTCTCAACTGTAAATATTAATGTTTGCACAAGCTCAAGTTATGAGGCACTTATATACTGTAAAATCTATTTCACATTCACATTAATGCTGTTATGTTTTAAAGTTTATGCATATTTTTGCCGTCATAGAAATCCACCAAGCGACCTGAAAGCAACTCACAGAGCAACACACAGGATGTTGGGGTTTACCAGGATTTTAATAAAAGTCCTGATGTTAGTGGTAGGTGTGACTGGGGGTAACTAATTGTGAGAATTAAAAATATGATTTTGATTTGACAGCAATTTTATATTGCAGATGGGGCTCCTTATGGTCGTCTGTGGGAGGGTTTGAGTCCTCGTCCCCCCTCTCGAATCACCCACCAAATGCGTATCACTGCTGAGCATTTCGTTTTCCACAAAGTCCTGGGCAAGGGAAGCTTTGGCAAGGTAACAAACAAACTCTCTATCCCTCAAACACGCATTCATATACAAATACATGTTCATCATCTTTCTGTCATCAGGTGCTGTTGGCTGAACTAAAGGGCACTGGTGAATGGTTTGCAGTGAAGGCGTTAAAGAAGGATGTGGTGTTGATGGATGATGATGTGGAGTGCACCATGGTAGAAAAACGAGTGCTGGCTCTCGCCTGGGAAAATCCGTTTCTTACACACCTCTACTCCACTTTTCAAACCAAGGTACACCACACACATTTACAGAAAAAACAACCACAAACCTGACTCAT